GATGGTGGTATTGCATGTCTCTGGGAAAAAGCCAAGCAACGTCACAGCAACACGTAGGATCAGATTGTGACTCCGACTCTGGGCATGTCTGATTATGGGTAGCTCTTGTATACATACCTGAGGTAGCTTTAATCTAGCCATGCACATGAAAACACAGTGCAGTGGACTTTAGCCTGGGCTAGCTGTCTGAGCATGTCACCAGTGGGTTTCTGCAGACTGCCCTATTTAACAGATTTCATTCAAAAGAAAGGCATTCTCCAAGCTACACTTACCCAGCACTGAAATGCAGCAGAAACTAGCAGCTGTTGAACAGAATAGGAAAAAGCTGCAAGATTTTTAGAAAAGGAAATGAAAGCTGCTATCTCCTGTATGAGCCCCCGTGGGATTTTAGTTGAACATTAAAAAGCAATTTCCCAAATTGTCCTGCAAGAATTAAACTGAATTTATCGAATGCAAAGATGGGAAAGAAGTTGTGATTCTGGGTAGCATACACACACACTGATCTACCTGGCTGATAACTCTTCATGAAGGATGTTTGAGGGGTCATGGGGTCTGATGGCCTTGGAGGTCCACTTGCTTCAGCAGTTAGTGTAGGATGAGGGCCAGGCCCACCAGTCTGAGAAGGTGTCAGAGCAGTGGGTTGCACGACTCCACCACCTGCTGGGCTTGTTCCTGATAGGATGGGATCAGTGGTGCCAAATTCTGAAGGCCCTGTGGGAATCTTGGTGGAATGTATGATGGAAGGCTTTGTGGTGGCAGGATGGGTAACTGGACCTGAGGCAGTACCTGATGTAGGCTTACCAGTGGGGCCAGATATGTTGGCAGTGTTGACTGTCTTGCTTACTGAAGAAGTGGTTCGCTGTGTTGGTCCTGAATTAGCCCCAGAGGTCGTGGTAGTTATTTTAGGTGGCAAAGCTGATGATGAACCAGGATGCTTTGAAGTAGTGGAAGATCCCGTCCCAGCAGTGCTGGTAGTGGTGTGTCCTGTCCCAGCAATGATAGTAGTGGTGGGTCCTGTCCCAGCAGTGGTGGTAGTGGTGGGGCCTGTCCCAGCAGTGGTGGTAGTGGTAGAGCCTGTCCCCGCAGTGTGGGTAGTGGTGGGGCCTTTCCCAGCAGTGGTGGTAGTGGTAGAGCCTGTCCCAGCAGTGGTGGTAGTGGTAGAGCCTGTCCCAGCAGTGGTGGTAGTGGTGGGGCCTGTCCCAGCAGTGGTGGTAGTGGTAGAGCCTGTCCCAGCAGTGGTGGTAGTGGTAGAGCCTGTCCCAGCAGTGGTGGTAGTGGTAGAGCCTGTCCCAGCAGTGGTGGTAGTGGTAGAGCCTGTCCCAGCAGTGGTGGTAGTGGTAGAGCCTGTCCCAGCAGTGGTGGTAGTGGTAGAGCCTGTCCCAGCAGTGGTGGTAGTGGTAGAGCCTGTCCCAGCAGTGGTGGTAGTGGTAGAGCCTGTCCCAGCAGTGGTGGTAGTGGTAGAGCCTGTCCCAGCAGTGGTGGTAGTGGTAGAGCCTGTCCCAGCAGTGGTGGTAGTGGTAGAGCCTGTCCCAGCAGTGGTGGTAGTGGTAGAGCCTGTCCCAGCAGTGGTGGTAGTGGTAGGGCCTGTCCCAGCAGTGGTGGTAGTGGTAGAGCCTGTCCCAGCAGTGGTGGTAGTGGTAGTGGTAGGCAGAGTTGTACCTGGAGACCCAACAGGTACACCAGGCCTTGACATTAGTCAACTTTTATCTACAATGGTCCCGTGCTACCCTCTCTTTTTTAACTTTTGACAATGTCAATAAAGCATTGTATTCATCTGAACAGAGTAGAAAAAGACAGGTGGCGACGACACAACCTGCTGTACATTTTTGCCCATGGGGGTGGGTGGCCCTCAGATATTATGAACGCATTCAGGGACCCTTGTGAACACTTGGCCCATCATATCATTTGGTGCAAGTTTTAATTACCACTTTGCTGATGGCATCCAAGGATTGGGAGTGAGGATACTGAGCACAACATTCTGTAAGATGTAGGGTACAAACCAAGCAAGCTCCAAAGAAAAGTGGTCCAGGCTTCCCACCTACTCTGTTATGTTTAATGTGTAACGTCAGTCTGTCTTCATTCAAAATGGAACAAACTCAGCAAGCTTTAGATCTGCTTGACTCATCAGTTCCATCTAATAACAATTGTTGATGAACAGGGAAAATAAAAACTAGCTGGTCCTGGTAGAGCTACGTGAACAGTCCTATGCATAACCCTGTGGCTATCCTATTCCCCATGGGTTAGAACTCAACATTCAGAGGCAAAAGTTTTGGGAATGTCTACTTTGACCTCAACAGGATGATGAAGCATCACATGCTTGAAGGATGATGAAGCATCACATGCCAGGACCTACTGGCTCCCCTCTCTTTTTAAAGAGAATTGCTGCAGTTTCTGCTCCATTTTATGCAAACTTTAAGCAAGCCTCGTATTTTGTGCCAAAATTTGACAACCTAGCCAAACCCCAACTGGTAAAATGAAGCACAAAAGGATCCCAGTTTTGGCCATATGGTTAAAAGAGCTTTGGACATAAGAAGTGAACAGCAGAAAGTAAGTCCACGGCACTTCATGAGGGAGAGTTACACAATGGCCTCTTAAAGCCATGAAGTGACTACATGTACTTGGAGTGCTTTATTGCAACCCAGCTGGAGGATAGTACTTCTCATGGATATCAGTGAGTTTTTGGATTGGGCCCATAATCAGCAATGTGAGACTTGTCTTCTCTAGATCATGAGGGCAATATAAAAGAACTTCAGTTCCTTCTCTGAACTATAAGGCAATAAGATGGCCAACGCACCTTTGGGAGGTATGACTTCTACGGTAATAATAGTGCTTGCCTCCTGGAGACTTGTCGAGTCAATAGCCATTGCCTGTATAGACATGAGAAGGAGATGATTTAGCTGCTTACTACCTTCATTAAATCTTTGAACATCTCCTGAGTTCCACTCCTGTGCATTAAACACTCTGCTATATTTCAGTCATAAATCTGGCATTGTCAGGAGGAAGGACAACACAGCCAAAGAGGCTCTTTCACCTACTGCCCAAGACAACTCAAAGGGAGAAATTATTTCTTCCATATTTGAGCAAGAAAAGTCAAAGGTGGTATCAGAGGATCCCAAAATTCAAGGACCATATTCATTACAGCCACTGATATATTTGAGACACATTTCCCAGGTGGCTCAGGTATGCAGTCCTGTATTTCATTATTTTCTCTGTTACATTCGTCCTATCATCACTCCACTGTTCTCTTGTCTTTGCCCCTTTCACCCACACAACTTGTCAACATTTGTCATATGTTATACCCTAAATTCTCTAGGGTGGAACTGTCTCTTTATCATGAACCTACTCCACTGAACTCTTCAGGTGGAGTAGTCCTTTATCATGAACCTACTCCCCTGTGTCCTCCTGTAATAGTAATGCCATCTTCCATTCCTTCTCCTCACAATAATACCTGTATTTTATCCTATACCACATGCCCCCCAACTAAGATGAGGAGCTTGTTTTGAGAAGTCAGAATGAAGAAAGAAATACTTTTTCCAGTCATGGCAGAATCCTGGCCTCAGGGAATCCTGACCACAAGGCTGAATCCTACCCATTACTGTTCAGCTAAAGCTACTTTTAACCCCCTCACACCACTGCCAAATTGGCAGCAGCTTTTGACTGCTCAGCCAAAAGCTACTGCTAATTCAGGAGTCATTGTGAAAGGGTTAAAATGAACTCTGACATTGCAAATGGCACTCTGCCCCTCCTCCTCTTCAGCCACAGAGATCAACAGAGCCCAGGCACCCATTATAGCCCAGGCACCCTATGCTTCTTATCTCGTGCAGAAATTAGCTTCTTTACAAGAGACACACCTCAATTTGGGGCTGATGTTTTGGGGAAAGTATTCAAGTAAATATGGTATCAGAAAAGCTAACATACCAGCATGGTTATTTTCATGGCTGAAGAGAAAACAGTGTTTGTCAGGAGAAGTCCATCTTGGGTTACTGTGAAATCACTGCTGTTTTGAATGCTGTAAGTGATGTGAGGATTGATTTTCTGAAAAGACAGATAAATGAAGTTGTAAATTGCATTCATGCATTTGTCCATAACAACCTGTTTGCAAAGCTGAAGCCAGGAGCAAACCTTTGAGTTGGGGACAGAAATCACACATAAACCAGTTTAAGTGATCAGAAACTGGTTTAAATCTGCAACAGAACAGAAGCTCAGTGCACATAAACCAGTTTAAAAATGGTTGAAACTGGTTTAAGATAAACCTGGTTGAATGTAGTGTGACGGGCTAGCTGGCAGTGACCTAGCCCAGGGGTTTTGAAAGGGCAAAGATGATTGGAGGACTTGGGATTCCCTTTCCTCACCAATCAGGCTCCAGAGACTCACCCTCCATGTCCCCTGATTGGCCCCTTGGGTCACCTGGAGGGGGATAAAAGGGGCAGTGCAGCTGACTCAGGGGAGACCAGCGAGGGACCGCAAGGAGGAAGCTTGCAAGAGCTAAGCCAGCAGGGCAGGAGCAGTTGCCCCAGAAGAGCCTGAAGGAGCAGGACCTGCAGGCAGTAGTTGGACCCTCAGCAGCGTGGCATTTGGCTGGCAGGAGAGGCTCCCCACTGGGCTCCAGGATCCCCTATGAGAGGCTGTGGCCAGCAGGCAAGGCTCCTCAGCTCCAGCAAGGATCTGAGCAGCGACCTGAGAGGTTCCCAGCTCTGCTTCCAGCTCCTCCAATCTCAGGTCAGGCAGCTCGACATGAGGCTGGGGCTCCAGGAAGGTCAAGACCCCAGCAACGTGGACTAATACTACCATTGGTGGTTGTGTGGCAGTATTTCTGCCCACCATGTGGGAAATCTGAGTTCAAGTCCTAGCTGAGGTGATTTGGGGTGAGTGAATTAACAAGAAGCCCCTTGCAGTAGAAAGGGGCTATTGTGTTTTTCTCCCTCTCCAGGTACCTAGGCCCTATATTTCCCTTGACGTTTTGCATTTTGTGCCTTTTTATATTTCACCAACCAGTATTGTTTGCTCTGCTGTTTGTGTTTTATATTTTGTTAACCCTGTCTTTTGTCAGTGATTGTACGTGTCTAACCTTTGTTGAATCCTGCCCCCTTGAGGCATTGTAGTGTCCACTATACCTCCTGATTTATGCCTGTTATGTTCCCAGTATTGTTCCCTCATTAAAAGGTATATGGTTAAGTCCCCATTGGTGGTCTGGCTCTGGTCTATAGAGGGAGGAGAGTCCCTACACCTCCCACAGCACTTGTGCACCTGTTTTGATCCCTTCAGTTGGAGAGGGGGTACCTCTTGGAGTACCGCCTGGGTTACAGTAGTATCAGATTTAATTGATTTGAACCAAACTGGTTTATGAAACTTCTGTCCCAGATCCCTTCCTGGTTCAAGTTAAATCAGAATCCCCCAGCATGCTTTCCAGCCCTGGGTTGGGCTGTGCTGCCTGCTCCAGAAAGCAGGGCTGGCCCTGTACTTCTGATCCCTAGCTGGAGCAGTGAGGGCTGGCTGACAAGGGAGTAGAGGGCGCAGCCTGGCTGAGAATGCAGCCCAGTCTATGGGATAGGGGGAACTGCCCACCCAAAAAGCAAACCCCAGCTGGGATCTGGGGCCAGGGAGGGAGGTTAAACACCCCTTTCCCCACTCAAACTTACTGCTGCTGCAACTGTAGACTACAAATCCCAGAGGCACCTGGAAGCAGGAACAGGAAGTGACAAGCAACCCTGTAGAGTCCTGCTGCTGTAATTCTGGACTGCAAATCCCAGAGACCTCAAGGGCAGCAGGAAGAAGAAGTGAACACTCAGCCAGAGAGCCACGTTCTAGCACCCCCTAGCTTCTGGTTTGAGCCACTGCAGGCATATGACTGCATTTTCTGATTCAGAGGTAAATGTCTGTTCACTTCTATTTCAAATTAATCTGTGCAGCTTAGACAAACCTGCAAAGACTGAACCTATTCAGCCTCAGGCTTTTTGACCGTCTGTATCTAGCCTTGATGTTGTTAAAATGGAGATGGATATAAAGTGCTAAAAATATTAGATACTCCATGCCCTCAAACTCATAAGTGTTTTGGTTTCAAGTTATGGAAGAGTCCTAAGTCAGATGTCATTCATGCCATTGCAAACCTTTGCCTATACATAAATGGCCAGGGGTTCTGTAATTATTGGCCAGGGTCAACACTGTTTCTGTGCTGAAGGCCAGCATAAATTTTACCACTTAGGTTTTATTTTGATGACGTGAGTAGGGCAAGGGTGGTGCCATGAACCTTGAGATAGGCTTCCCTATTGGGGTGTATTTCCCCTCTGTCTGTACAAAATGGCGCTTTTAGGTTGCACACTGTGTTCTGGATGCCCTTACACCAGTTGTAATTGGCAAGTTTTTTTTTTTTT